CTTTCAAAAAGTACATTTAAAAAATAATTTGATTACTGCTAAATTAGTATACTTACTTTTTGGACTCTTAAGTTGAACTTAATTACATCTTTTTTGAAGTATACTTTTTAAAAGTACATATTAAGTACTCTTTAAATAAAGCACAACAAGTAGAAGCATACTTGTTTTATACTTCATGTACTTCATTCATATTTCCAATACACTAAAGTATACTACTTTTTTACCTGGGAAGTAACGGCTGGAGGGCGTTGTTAGGCACGACGCGAAGCGGAGTGCCTGCAACCCCTTCAGCCGTTACTTATTCACGATACAGCACTTGCCTCGAGTACCTTATTGCTTTTATAAAACGGTTGCCACACAATAAAAATATTAAAGCCGAAAAATATGTATCTATGCAACTTTCATGAAGTAAAATCACTAAAAGCCTGCCTTCCGCTGGAAAAAATAGTCCCGGAACGTGAACAGCAACAGAAGTTACATATATTATTTCGCCAATAGATGGCGGCAAAGACTGTCTTTATGAGTGAGTGAGTGAGTGAGTCTGTAGAGAAGGCTTTTGAAAGGACTCGAACTTGTGATCACGGAGAAGACAGACGCAACTGACAGATGACTAACGTTATGCACGGAAAACCCCATGACTGTTAAAAGGACAAAATATGCAGCGGACATTCAAACGCATTTTTTTATTATGAATATAGGACTGACCTGAAGGAAAATGCTACGTCTACTGTAAATGCAGGTACACTCGCTTACTCGATCTCTCACAATGCTCTGCTCTAGCTTTAAATGAACAATATCAATGAGATGAAACATCTGTTTAAGTTGCTAAGAGTGGTTGCTAGGGGTGTTGTGTAGTGATACATAGAACCGTTGGGTGAAGCGGTCATAGCCGTGTTTTATCGTGAATAAAGCACAGCTATTGACCAATCAGAATCAAGGATTGGAACTAACCGTTTTATAAATATTTATATATAATATAAATTATATATAAATCTATATACAGTATATACATGAAAATATTTCTTAAATATATACAAGCATGTGTGTGTATTTATATATATATAAAATAATTATACACAGTGCACCCACATATATTATGTAAAAAAACTTTTATTTTGGATGTGATTAATCATGATTAATCATTTGACAGCCCTAATATATATATATATATATAAATATCGTTTTATCATTTAATCATTCATATCTTAAATATAATTTAATCGATCATAATTTAAGAAATCATATAGTTTGATTTGTTTTTCATGATTATTATTTGAAATGTATGTTTAATGCTTTTCTTTTATTAACCTTGACACCTCAATGTAGCTGTGTTAGGGTGAACTTGTGTACTTTCTGTATGATGTGGCGAAAGCCTAAGTTTCTAATAGACAGACCACAAGTAGCGCGAATTTCTCAGTTAAAGTGGAAAAAAAAAATTCTATCTTGTTGTATACATGTTGTATAGCAGTTTATTTCTTATATGAGATTTATGACTTATTGACACGTGGTGGAACGGGACGATATGTGTATGTGCTTGCACAACCAGGTTTTCCACTCTACATATAAAGCGTTGTGGAAATTAGGGTTCGCGTACCAACCCCGAAGAGATCAAATAAAATTATGTATCAAATTTATAGGCAAGACAAGTAGTTTGTTTAGGCATGGTTTGTAGGGAATTACAAACCTGCGCACATATATTCAAACGCACATAACTAGAATCAATTCTTAATGCGCATGTGAACACCATCATGCAGCGTTTATCACAGGTTCACGTTTAAAGTCTGTTTAGAGCAGGGGTCTCAAACTCAACTTAACTGGGGGCCGCTGGAGGTAGAGTCTGGGTCAGGCTGTGCCGCATCAAGGATTCCACAAAATAATAGTATTCAAGTATTCCAAAAAAAGGAGCACAACTGATCCAATCTTCTCAATCTTTATTATTACCGTTTTTTCTGAACTGTTCCTCTGAATTTGAACATTCCTTTCTGGACATGATTGTTTCTTCATGAGCTGTCCTTCTGACAGTTGAAGTTCACTTTACAAACTTTATTTTTCTTTCCTTATAACACATCTTTGTGATTCTTATATTTGCTCATGTCCTTTTTATTTTTTTTAATATGATATTGAATGTTTTTTTTGGAAGGAACAATTCCTTATATTATAGGCTGCTTAGAAAAATAATTATTGCTTTTGAAATACAAATATTTGCAGTCATGTCTGCCCATCTTATTGAATTCTTTCTACACATGTATAGTGTCTCAGGCAAATTAGCCTAGTACTGACTTTCCACAAATCAAAGCAAACCTTCTTATCAACCTGTTGGACACATATTACAAGCTCAAAATGATTATTCTCACATTGTTTCAGGGGTCTCCAACACGTCGCTCGCGAGCTACCAGTAGCTCGTGGCCTGATTGGTGGTAGCTCGCCTTGGGCCTGTTCACATATCGCGCTCACATATTTTGCGCGCTCAAGTTCGTTATTTCAAATGTAGGAGCGCGGCAAGCGCGCTCATAATTGAAGCGACGCGCTCATTTTTTCCAGGCGCAGTATGATTGTACTTCGCGGTTCACGAGACTATGGTAGCCCATAAGGGATATAACTTTTTTTTTTTTTTAAACGCGGCACACGCAACGACGGGCCGCACTAACATTAAACTTTAATGTCAAGTAGGGGGGCCACAAAATATCACCCCGCGGGCCGCGAGTTTGAGACCACTGGAGAGAACGGTGACGTCTTAGCGGCCCCTAATTTAATAACAAATGATCATTTCACCGGAAGTGAATAAATCAAAACTAACTTTAGCTGGGAAATAACATTATTCAAGAACCGCTATAAAACCAAACCAATCTCTGTTACCTTAAATTATATGTTTATCTCTGTAAAGCTGCTTTGAAACAATCTACATTGTTAAAAGCGCTATATAAATGAGGATGACTTGACTTCACTATATTAAAAACTATGGAAAATACCGCAATGAAAAAAAAAAAGAAAACATCCTGTGTGGCATTTAATTGCCCCTTTCCACATCAAAGTTGCATTAATTGCTATAGGCTAGTAACATTAGTCTTCCACGTGTTTTCTTAACAAATGATCACTGGAAAGTAGAACTAACCCTTCCACAAACAAATTTAATTTGCCAACAGTTAATAATAATAAATAAAAGTGCATGACGTGCAAACCGGATAACAATCAAGTGCAATATAAACATGTTTTGTCAGGGCATCAGTGCCGAACAACACTCCATCAACATCTGCTTCCTCCTTCACACGCGTCTGGCGTGATTTAACTTCTCCCCAGTTGTTCCATGAAAACCCGCAAAACACGAAAAGCTGTGAAGTGATCAATAGGGTTGTTTCTTCTTTGGGTTGAAACATAAAAAGGTAAGCAACCGCTTTTAATCTCTGCATTTGTCCTCCGACTGTAACTGCTAGCGCTTTCACCCTGTCTATGGCTTTCACCGGAAAAGAGTTTACCCTACTTCCGGTCTCGGCGGCCATTTTTGTGAAATAGGCCTATTGCATGTTTTCTTGTGTGGCTGGATAATCAGGCTCATGAACAATAAGCATTAGCAATTATTTTAATAATAATGCTCATTGAAATGTTTCTTTTTTTTCCCACAAGGACATTTGATACAGTTTTCAAAGAAGATGAAGAGAAGTTTGATAAAAAAAATGAGGGATTAAACCAGTGTGAATAGAAAGTCGTCAGTAATTGTAATGAAGACAAAAGAAAAGTATAATTAGAGCCATAACGGGGCCGGAGAGCTGTGAATGTGTGCAGGGAAGACTGAAACTGAATGGTGTTCATTTGCACCACAAAACAATAGAGACAATACACTGAATGGATGCTTAGAAAACGGCAATAAACACATTTAGCATTTTAGAGTCTTCTGAAAATATAATCACGAGACATCTTAAAAAACATTTCATGAAACTCAGAGTTTTAGACTTATCTTCAGATTTGATTAACATGGTCAGACATGTGGCTTTAGCTGCAGTGCATTTCTAGATTAAAACAATGCCAACTTCAATTTTATAAAGATATTTCATAAAAAAAAAACTTTTCTAAAAACTTTACAAACTTTAAAAACTATTTATAACTATATTTTTTTTCATTTTGACTATTTACATTGACTTTACAATAAACTGTCAAGTGTCTACTTTCAAATGAGACTATAATAATGCTTTTAGTGCAAAGGGTTCATGAACTGTATCTGTTTTAGTTTGAGAGTGCCATTTATTGTGATTTTTTCAAAAGCGGGGGTGCTGGTTTACATGTTAACTATTTACAACTGTAACTCTTTTAGACATTAAGTTCTTTCTTTCAGAAAAGATGCCCAGCTAACATACAAACTAGCCTAGGTGTGCTGCTGGAAAATGCGTTATACATTTTAAGCTTCAGAATTTTACTCTCAAAGCAGACAGCCGTGCCTCTGCTACCGCGGGCGTGTTTTTCCACCTTCAAAGTTCTGTTTTTTCAAACTATTCGAATATATATTCGAATTTAGAATATTCAATGACAGCCCTATTAATGGCTTGAACAATTGGGCCATTTCAAACTGCAAACTATCCTTGCCTGACGCCTTAAACCGTGAATAATCTCGAGTGATTGTAAGTGTGATGATCATCTGCTAAATGAGCAACAACGACCACAATTCACTCCTTCAGTCAGTGAAGCTCCCACAGCCGTTCATGAGAGTTTAAATGCTGGGGAATATTCCCATCTTCCCACAGGAGAAGAAGCAAGCAGGAGGAATTACTCCAGGAGAAACTACGGACATACTATTGTAAAGATGGAGATTGAGGAAGAACCCTGCAGAATAAAAGATGAAGATACAGAGGAACAAATAGGTTGGTGTTTTCCTTCATTCTCTTTAATGACTGATGAGGAACATTAAGATGAAAACTAACATACAAATTCTAGACACTAGACTCTGTTGTAAAGTAGTTTTTTTTATCTCACTTATTTCTCTGTTTGTTCATTTTTGGCTTTGATTTTAGACTCGATGGAAGTAAAAGCAGACAAACGCCAACGGTTTCAAAAACCTCAACAATTCAAAAATGGAAATGCTGCTATTTCACCGACTGAAGAGAACCGCAAACAAAAACAAGCTGGAAAAGCTGTATTCAACGGACCTCTTACTTGCTCTCAGTGTGGAAAGAGTTTCATGCGTGAAGGAAACTTTAATGAACATATGAGAATTCACACTGGAGAAAATCTGTTCTCGTGCTCTCAGTGTGGAAAGAGTTTTACTCGGAAAGGACACTTAAACGTGCACATGAGAGTTCACACTGGAGGAGGATCGTTCTCCTGCTCTGAGTGTGGGAAGAGTTTCATAAAGAAAATAAGCTTACATGTGCACATGAAATCTCACACTGGAGAAGATATGTCCACATGCACTCAGTGTGGAAAGATATTCGCATCCAAAAAAAAGCTCAACTATCATTTGCGCATTCACGCCGAAGTGAAGCGGTTCAGCTGTGATCAGTGTGATAAAACATTTGTTCTGGAATCATACTTAAAATCACACATTCAAATTCATGCTGCTGTGAAGGCTTACCTTTGCTCTGTATGTGGAAAGAGTTTTTCACAACTTCCGGCTTTTCGATCGCATATGAGTGTTCATAATGGTGTGAAACCTTATCTGTGCTCTGACTGCGGGAAGACCTTCACTGTGTCCAGCGACTTAATAAAACACCAGAGGATTCACACCGGAGAGAAACCGTACAAGTGCTCACACTGTGAAAAGTGTTTCACTCAGGTAGGAGCCGTGAAATCTCATGAGAGAGTTCATACTGGAGAGAAATCTAAGAGACAAATTCATAAGAAAAGGCGTTGCCTGAAGTTGTCTAGTAAAAAATAATTCATGTTCAGATCCGTCTCTTTCAAGCAAATAGTTTGATATTCTGATAAAGCAAAATATGGTATTCTTGCAGCAACGGGATCTGAGGGAGAAATCTGTGAATTAAAATCAGGGAAAATTGTTTGTTTAAAATTGTAAATTTTGAGGAGGTCAAAATGCCTCAATTTAGTAGGAATGCTTTTGTTTCTGTTGGGGAGTAAATGTAGTAAAACTAACTCTATTAAATCTCCACCCACATGCTGAACAAGTTTAGTTGCTTAACAAAGTCTTTTATTGATTTAATGAACAAATTTCTTCAGGCAACTAATCAGAGTTTTGATTGTAGCTACGCATTGTAATGAATTAACTCTGCATTAATAAATCACTGTTTTTAAACTAAAAAGTGCAATTTTCTTCTTTCACAATAAAATACACAATATAAAATTCTGTTCTGTCGGTGGAAGTGCATTGAAAAAATACATGTTTTAAAGCTGTGATCTAGTTAAAATATAAGATCTTAATTACAAGGCCTTTGTAACAGTATGGTAAAAAACAATAACAACTAAAGATTAATTCATTTTAAAAATCAAATTCATAATAAAAAATAATTATATTAAAAATTAACAAAGCATTGAAAACCTATAATAATTGTCCATCAATACGAATGTCATACAGTAAGACATTTCAAAGGGTTTTTACACTAATTTGCTGGCAACACATGTGTATTAGTTTTTTATTAGTATTTCATATTGTAGTATTTCCGTGTTGATCCTCTCAGGCATTCTGTTAAAATATTTATCTGATACAAATAAAAACTACTAATCAAGAGTATGCATCTCTGTATTCATCTGAGTTTTAATATTGCATTTGATATTTTATCTCATCAGTATAAATAGCAAATTGTCCTTTAAAGCTAAAAGTGACTCTCATGACATTGTTCTTATGAATGCAAAAATGAACATGAAGCGATGGATGTGATCTGACGTTATGAGATTCTAAAAATGACTCAATCGTTTCATATTTTCTATCTTGCAAGAGTTTCTTTAAGAATTTATGCTAATAGTTAATATTACAGATCAGATGTTCCTCTAGTTGGCGCCATTTATAAATGGGAAGATGCAAGAAGCAATTAGAAAGGTAGAAGAATGGGCATATGATTAGGGATTCAACAGTGATTGGTTGTTCCAGAAGAGAGTCTGAAGATGTTTGAGAGATCGTTGGAGAAGGTGAAGGTTTTCACATTTTTTAGGTATTTATTTTGATAAGAAACTTACATGGGATGAACATGTGAACAAAATAGTGGAGAAATGCCAGAATGGGGAGCACTTTTTTCTTCATTAAAAACGATTTATGTGGCACTGATCCGGTGTGTATTTGATTATGGTATGTGGTGTATGATTCAGCCTCAAAAACCTTGTTAGAAAAACGCAATGAAATACAAGCTCAAACTATGAGACACACATTCCAGATTTACAAGTCTTGTTAAGAGAGATGCCAAGGAAAATATTAATGATCAATTACTGGGCTAAACTCAAAGGACATAAAGAGGAATATCCTACAAATATGTTTTTACAGAAGTGATGGGAACAAAATAAAAGTTGTAGAATAAGCTTCGAGTGCAGTGGTAAAATATAAGCAGAAGAAACGCAAGTAAATAGTATCGAGACGAATTGGGTTATGCAATACTTCAAGTAGATCTGCATTTGTTGGAGGCCAAAAAAAGCAGAAAGAGAAGTAGACTTGTCATCCACGTTTTCAGTGTTAGAGCCCAATATTCTCAGCATACACACATATTTACAGACAGCTCAAAAGATCCAGAGCGTCAGACAACTGGGGCTACTTTTATAATGCCAGATCAGTGAAATAAAGCCAACATCATATCATGTTGGCGTCTAAATGATGGCAATAGCCTACTCTTGGCATTATTGCATTGGGTAGAGGAACATAAACCTGGAAATGTTTTCATTTGTTCCGACTCAGTTTCAGCCACCAAGATATTCTGTTTAGCATATTAAAAATACATTCAGGAATTGTTCAAAATGATATCTTAGTTTTATATTAGTTCCAGGACACATGAGTAAAGGCAAATGAGGATGTGGATAAATATGCAAAACAAGCTTTACAGAGAGAAACAATAGAGATACAAGTTCCATTGAACAAGTCAGAAATTACGTTGTTGTTTTTTTAAATCTGGAATAAAGCAATAGAAAAATTGGCAAGTAAAGTGGAACAACTGAACATTTTTTTAGATTTCTTTATGCTCAATTAATAATGAAAAATCAAAAGATAAGATAATCAAGGAAAGAAGAGGTTATTTATAATATAATCATGTTAGGGCAGTCCAATTTAAATAGCACACTTAAAATAATAGAGGATCATCCAAATGGGTTATGTGAACAGTGTCATGTTAAAGAAATTGCCTGCGATTCTTGAATGTATCAAGTATGAGCCAGAAAGGAACAAATTGATAGGAGAAATGAAGAAAAATGGAATTCAAGAATTGAATTTTAAGGTTTTAATAAAATGGTCAAGTAAAATAAATAGTAAAGAATGATTTGATTGTATTAGGGAGACAGGGCTGATACATAGAATATAAACTCTATCCCACACTCCGGAGAGAAGATGGCGGTAATGAACCGAATACACTGGCTGCCAGCCGCCGTAAAAAACAAGCAGAAGAAGAAGAAGATGATGATGTTGATGGCATTTGTTTTCATTTCAATCACCTACGTTTGTTGAAGCCATCTTTAGTTAGTAAAACTTTGCTTTGCTGTTTCAGACTGTGAGTACATTTATTCAGTCACTTATTGGGAGAAATCTAAATCTGACTGTGTACATTTATTGAGTTCGACCAGTGTCCGATTCCCGAACATATGACTCTTAAGAGTCGGTTCGTTTTAGAGAATCAAAAACAATCTGCTTAGAGATTACTGAAATATCTGACTCTGGTAATCCAACGAATTGAAACTGTACAACAGTGAAATAGGACTTTACTTTCTCCTCACGTCGTCACACTAAAACGTTATTTTAATAGTAGGCCTAGGGCCTAATGCTCATTTAAATGTTTCTTTTTTTCCACAAGGGCATTTGATACAGTTTTTAAAGAAGATGAAGTGAGAAGTTTGATAAAAAAAGAGGGATTAAACCAGTGTGAATAGAAAGTCGTCAGTAATTGTAATGAAGACAAAAGAAAAGAATAATTAGAGCCATAACCGGGCCGGAGAGCTGTGAATGTGTGCAGGGAAGACTGAAACTGAATGGTGTTCGTTTGCACCACAAAACAATAGAGACAATACACTGAATGGATGCTTAGAAAACGGCAATAAACACATTTAGCATTTTCAGATTTGATTAACATGGTCAGACATGTGGCTTTAGCTGCAGTGCATTTCTAGATTAAAACAATGCCAACTTCAATTTTATAAAGATATTTCATTAAAAAAACATTTCTAATAACTTTACAAGCTTTGAAAACCTATAACTATTTGTTTCATTATGACTATTTACATTGACTTTACAATAAACTGTCAAGTGTCTACTTTCAAATGAGACTATAATAATGCTTTTAGTGCAAAGGGTTCATGAACTGTATCTGTTTTAGTTTGAGAGTGCCATTTATTGGGATTTTTTCAAAAGCGGGGGTGCTGGTTTACAGGTTAACTATTTACAACTGTAACTCTTTTAGACATTAAGTTGTTTCTTTCAGAAAAGATGCCCAGCTAACATACGAACTAGCCTACCAGTTACGTGTTGGTACTTGGTAATTTCACGCTGGTAATTTAATTACCATCAAATTGTCAACTCACAATGTCGCCTGTACAAACTCTTAAGCTTATAAGAAACAAACAACACGTTTTTTTTATGTAAATAAAACTATTTAATTAATCAAGAAATATATGCTAGTAAGAACGCTATATGTCTGTTTATGATGCTCTACTGAATGATTCCATTCAATTAAATGTTTAATATTATTTGTTAATATTGTAAATGCTTTTTATTGTATTTATCACATCCCAATTACTAACTGACAGGATCAGACGTTATGTTGTTGCAATGAACGATTCCAGGAATTTCAATTTTCTGGTTGTGAAAATAATAATAACATTATAATTGTAAAATTGATTGAAAGCATCTGCTAAATGAGCAACAGGGACCATAATTCACATCTTCACTAAAGCAATTCACGAGTAATGCTGGGGAATATTCCCATCTTCCCACAGGAGAAGAAGCAGCAAGCAGGAGGAATTACTCCAGGAGAAACTACGGACATACTATTGTAAAGATGGAGATTAAGGAAGAACCCTGCAGAATAAAAGATGAAGATACAGAGGAACAAATAGGTTGGTGTTTTCCTTCATTCTCTTTAATGACTGATGAGGAACATTAAGATGAAAAATATATTTAGATCAAGATACTACCAGACTTTATAGTTAACTTGATTTTTGCTCAATAGAGGCATGCCTATTTTTCTGATTTTTCTCTTTTGTCTTTCTTTAATTGGATTTTGGGAAGTGAAAGAAGACAAATGGCATCAGTTTCAAAAACCTTATTTCCTAAAAGAAGATGGAAACGCTATTATTTCACAGACTGCAAAGAATTTCACACAGAAACAAGCTAAACAAACTGGAATCAAAGATTTTTTCACCTGCTCTGAGTGTGGAAAGAGTTTCATGCATAAAAAAAATTAAATGTGCACATGAGAATTCACACTGGAGAAAAACCGTTCACATGTGCCGAGTGTGGAAAGAGATACACTCAGAAAGGACACTTTAATGAACACATGAGGATTCACACTGGAGAAAGGCCTTATACATGCTCTCAGTGTGGAAAGAGTTTCATTCACAAAAGAAGCCTAAATGTGCACACGAGAATTCACACTGGAGAAAAAACGTTCACATGCTCTCAGTGTGGAAAGAGTTTCAATAACAAAAAAAGCTTAAATTTCCACATGAGATCTCACACTGGAGAAAGGCCTCATACATGCACTCTATGTGGAAAGAGTTTCATTCAGAAGGGACACTTTAATACGCACATGAGAATTCACACGGGAGAAAAAAACATTCATATGCAATTAGTGTGGAAAGAGTTTTACATTCAAAAGCTCTGTCAAAGATCATGCGCTCTCACTAGGGAGTTGTTAAGCTGTGATC